TAAAAATTTCTAGAATGGTTCTAGAACGTTCACTAAACATCTGACAATTCCTAATGTTAATTCTCTAGTTTCTTTGGTTTCGTTAGACAGTTATGCTTTGACTAAGAGATAACTAACAATAATGATTCATTAGTATTGCTGTCTATTAGTTGACCAAAAAGGAAAAAAAAACTATTCTGAGTCTGTTTGAAGTTTCTAAAACTGCACACACTGTATCTTTTGTGCATGGACTACTTACACGGTGCTATCAGAGTATAACTGGGGCTGTAGCTCGTCCAATCCACTTCCCCAGAGACAACTGCTAAATTTTCAGGAAATTTATGAGAAAATTGATAACACTTTTTACAACAAAGTTGAAATTATGTAAACTTATGAAATTTGAAAGCATGAGTGAAGTAAATATTTAAAACTCAATACTCCCGCAAACTGGTCCAACCACTATGGAAAGCTGTATGGAGGTTCCTCAGCCTACTGAAAATGGAGCTACCATATGACCCAGCTATTCTAGTCCTAGGGATTTACCCAAAGGACACAAAAACATTAATTCATAAGACCATCTATACCCCTATGATTATTATTATTTTTTTTTTATAGAGGCATGTTTTATTTATTTATTTTATTTGTTTGTTTGTTTGTTTTTGTTTATGCATGCACTGGGTACAGTCAGAAACGTGGGAGGGTGAGAGAATTCACCAGAGCCAGAGCAGGGAGCAGAGCAGGCAGAAGGACCGAAGTACACTGCTGAGGGGAGCAGCGGGCAGCAGGAGAGGTCTGCGCGCCATGTGGGACCCTCCTCTGGTGGCCGGGGAGCAGCCGGGGATCGAACCGGCGCCGCAGAGGCTGTGGGCAGCTTCGCAACCCAGCGCTCAACCACTGCGCCACCGGGGAGGCCCTATACCCCTATGATTATTGCAGCACTATTTATAATGGGCAAAACCTGGAAACAACCCAAATGCCCAAAATAGATGACTGGATCAAGAAGATGTGGTACATATACACAATGGAATATTATTCAGCAATCAAAAAAGATAAAGTAATGCCATTTGAAGCAATATGGATTCAGTTAGAAGGAATTATTCTCAGTGAAATAAGTCAGAAAGAAAAAGAAAAAATATATATCAGATGATTTCACTTGTAGAAGGAATATAAGGGAACAAAATAAGACATCAGAGGAAAAAATAGTAACAATACAAAACACAACAAAACAAAACAAAAATAAACAGACAATTACAAACCAAAGACATCCTACAGGGGAGGAAGAGGGAGAGGAATCAGAGGGAGGGAGGGAGAAGCACAGGAGAGTGTAGTGATGGTGCACAGGTGCATTGGTGAAGGAAATTTTATGGGGACTACACCTGAGGAGGAAAAAAAGCAAACATTGTTTAAAAATGAACAATGAGGTAAAATACATATAAATTAAAAAAGGAAACAAACAAAAAAAACCTCATCATTCCCTAATTATTTCATTACACTTTAATGTCATCAATGCTCTGAGCCACACCTGATGCACTTGCTGGTGACAACCCCAGAGAGTGGTGAGTTCTAAACATCACTTCCCAACTCCATATTCACTGACATCACGCGGGACCCTTGAAATCAAACATGATGAAAATATTTACAACACAGAAACTGGCAAACTCTATGAGGGTGGATTTTTCCTGTACCCCCAAGGGTCAGTTATTAGTATGGTTGTAGCTACACAGATGTTACTGTCACTGCCACAGCCTCTCCTGCTACAAGCTTCTGTGTGTAACCCCCATAAAATATGTTCTGCTTCACATTAGGAAGGAACAAAAAGTAAGGAAATGAAGAGAATAATGGACGAGTTCCACTGACCTCTGGACAGTGTCCAAAATCAACTACACCACTGTTTGGCAATTTACTGACCCCCCAAACAATACCTGCATGTGAGACAACCCCACTGAATGCAAATTTTTTTTTCATTTACTATCATCAATTTATTATATTTTTATTATATATATAATTTACATCACTGTCCATTTTTGTACAATGTTTGATTTCTCCTCTCAGGTATAATCCCCATAAAATCCGCACCACCAAGTCACCAGTGAACTGTCACCACAGTCTCTTGTCCCCTTCCCTCCCCTGTTTTGACTCCTCTTCCTTCCCCCTCCCCTAGTGTATGTTTCGGATTTATAGTTTGCTTGATAGTTTTGTCTCTTTTTTTCTTTCCCTACCCCTTGTTTGGTTTCCCTATATTCCTCCTATAAGTGAAACCATCTGATATTTTCCTTCCTTTTTTTTTTTTTAAAGATTTATTTATTTATTTATACAAGCACTGGGTACAGTCAGAAGTGCGGGAGGGTGAAAGAATTCACCAGAGCCAGAGCGGGGAACAGAACAGGCAGAAGGACCGAGGTACACTGCTGAGGGGTGCAGCGGGCATGGCAGGAGAGCTCTGCGCACCCTGTGGGACCCTCGCCACTGGTGGCGGGGGATCGAACCGGTGCTACAGAGGCTGCAGGCAGCTTCGCAGCCCAACGCTCAACCGCTGCGCCACGGGGAGGCCCATCTGATATTTTTCTTTATCCTTCTAACTTACTTCACTAAACATTATCCCTTCTAGCTCCATCCCTGTTGCTATGAATGGCATAAGTTTATCTTTATTGATTGCTGAGTAGTACTCTGTTGTATACATAGACGACATCAACTATAGACTACATCTTGATACAGTCATCTGTTTCTGAACATTTAGGTTGTTTGCAATCTTAGCTGTGTGGGTTGTTGTTGTTTCCATCATTTAGGTTGTTTCCAATCTTAGCTATGTAAATAGTGCTGCAATAAAGATAGGAGTGCAGTTTTTCCTTTTGGATTAATTTATTTTTTTTGTCCTTTGGGTAGACTCCTAGGAGGAAAATTGCTGAGTCATACGGTAGCTCCATTTTTAATAATTTGAGAGTCCTCCACACAGTTTTCCATGGTTGAATGCAAAACTATTGGAGGTGTCAGTCACCTAAGTTCAGAATTTAGAAAATGCTCCAAAATAATGTTTGAAGTTAATTCAAATTCAAATTTGAGAATAAAGTTTCAAAAATAAATTTATTTTACCAAATTAGTAATGACTAAGAAGAAAGACACTGTTGAGCCTCCCTGGTGGTGTATGAAGCTATCAGTAGCCTCTGCAGCATGAGTTCAATCCCCGGCCAGGGAGCTAACCCACATAGCACAACAGACCTCTCCACCGCTCCCCTCAGCAGTGGATTTCAGTCAATCTGCCTGTTCTGCTCCCCACTCTGTCTCTGGTGAATCCTCTCACACACACCCCCACACCTCTGGCTTATACCCCTGTTCTTGGATGCATAAATAAAATAATTTTTTTTTTTTTAAAAAAAGAAAGACACTGTTGTTGGAGCAGTGCAGTGACAACACAGTATTTAAAAGAAATTTGGCAGTGTGAAAGTCAAATGCTCATTGATTTAGTCTGCAGAAATATTAATTTTTAAAAATGTATCCAAAGTACTATTATTTATGATGGGAAAGCTAAAATGAGTAGATATATTTCATAAGTTTAATTTTAGTGAAAATTATAAAAAGCTAACGACATGGTGCTGCTTATGCAACGTGATTGCCAAAACTAATATATAACATCTAGTCAACAGATACTAAAACATGAAATGATGTAAACTTATAAAGTAACCAAAAGCAAATTCCACTGAACATTATTATCTGCCATTTTAATGTTTGGATGTTTACACATTACCTCTTTTCTTTTCAGGTTTTTGTAATTCCTGAATTTTGTGAAAAACATAATAATGCGTACACAAAATAAAAAAAAAATTTCAATATTCTAGGCATAGCATTTCGATTTTTTTAAAATTTTTTTTTAATAGTGGCATGTTATTTATTTGTTTGTTTGTTTTGTTTATATATGCACTGGGTACAGTCAGAAAAGCGGGAGGGTGAGAGAATTCACCAGAGTCAGAGTGGGGAGCAGAGCAGGCAGAAGGACCGAAGCACACTGTTGAGGGGAGCAGCGGGCGGCAGGAGAGGTCTGCGTGCCATGTGGGACCCTCCTCCGGTGGCTGGGGAGCAGCCGGGGATCGAACCGGGGCCGCAGAGGCCACGGGCAGCTTCGCAACCCAGCACTCAACCGCTGCGCCACCAGGGAGGCCCAGCATTTCAATTTTTTAAAAAGTGTATAGGCATCATGGTATATATCATGAAAATAAGAATATGTTTGTAGTTTCTAAAACATAGGTAAATAAGATACATAGGAAAAACATGACTTTAGTTTAATGTATAACATCTATTTAGCTGTAAATCATTAAATTTTCTTCTAAACCAATTACCCCATCTTTGACCTTTGAGCTTTTTTTCAGTCTTTCATAAAATTCTCAACTTCAATTTTAATTCAGTATAATTAAACTATGGTATGCAGCGTGAGAAAAGTATCAAAACTGAAACAAATTAACAGAATGCCACAATTCCAAAAAAAGGGAGAAATTGCTGCATCAAATATCCATTTCAAATCAACCAATCCTATAGGAAGTAACAGAGTTTGTGGAAAATAAAATACAGAAAGTTAGACAGAAAGAGAGGTCCATTGCAAAGGAAGGTGCTATCATCAGCTTTTTCAAATTTTCAGTGTTTTACTACGTATAGAACAAGGAAAAGTAGGTTAATAGAGTATTAACAGTAGCCTGGTGAATTTCCTTTTGAAGTAAGAGAAGACTGGATATTATTATATGGTGGTCTAGTATTATGAATCATTTATATTGCATTATCATGTTTATTGTGCTTTGATATCTAAATAATGAATGAGTACATGATAGAATGCAAATTTACATTTGTGACTCATAAGGGAAGGAATATCAATTTCAGTGTATGCCTGACCTTTCAAATCTACTTAGGGAAACTGATATTGGTGTGAATCTGTGAATCGGTGTAATATTGGTGGTCCTGTCTTTATTCTTGGGAATCCACACAGTCTAGAAGCTTTCAAGTGATTCATTGAAATATGTCTTAGATAACTGGCTTACCTGAAATTTTGACTTGAGACACTACTCCATCTCCGCCATCACTGTGTGCACGAACCTCTACAACATATTCTCCATCCCTGGGGATCGGGACCTCTATGGAGTGTTTGTGAGTGGAGAACAGCTTGCCATCATGCTGGCCATCAGGCCGATAAAGAACCTTAAAAAGTCCCAAAATACATATGCTTAGTAAAGTGATAATCATGAACCAATATTAAATGCCCTAATGCTAACCTAGCACCAAAATTAAAATAATACACTTTCATTAATAAAAAATACTCTAGGAAGCAACATTTAATAAAAGTACCAAAATGCATTTGACTTTGAATTCACAAGAATTAATTTCTCCCATTTTAATTTTTGTTGTTGTTATCTTTTTTTTTTATATTTTTTACATCATTTTTCATTTTTGCACAATGTATGCATTTTCATCTTGGTTATAGTGCCCACCCCCCCTTGTTTTGATCCTACCCCCTCCTCCCCCGCTGTAGTGTGTCTCTGGTTTGTAGCTACTTGTTTATTTTTTTACTTACCCAAAGGACACAGAAACATTAATTCAAAAGGGCACCTGCACCCTTATGTTTATAGCAGCACTATTTACAACAGCCAAGCTATGGAAACAACCCAAATGCCCAAAAATAGATGACTGGATCAAGAAGATGTAGTACATATACACAATGGACTATTACTCAGTAATCAAAAAAGGTAAACTCATGCAATTTGCAGCAACATGGATGAAGCTAGAAGTGATCATGCTCAGTGAAATAAGCCAGGAAGAAAAAGAAAAATACCAGATGGTCTCACTCATAGCAGGAATTTAGAAAACCTAAATAAGGGACCAGGAAAAAGACTAATTATAATTCTTCCCATTTTTAAAGAGTGATTCAAGAGAATGTGCCTTAACGATTTTATTGGTTGTGGTGGGCTGCCTAAAACAAATAGAAAGAATGAGTCTTTTGTGAAAAATGTATAAAATGAGGGTTCTTTCATTATACTAAAGTACCATGAAAAAATTACCTCACAATTAAAAATATTTCCTCACAGAATATACCTTGGAAATAGTGTAGATTCTGTTCTAGACTCTCACAATAAGGAGAGTACCACAATATTTTGGTTGCTCAGTGCAACAACTTTATGTCAAAACACACACACACACACACACAACACAATGTATCCACCTTAATTTAAAAATGCTTTAATGGTTTCAATGAGTCCTCCATTTCTTTGCTGGTGGAGGGCTTTGCCTCCATGTTGATGAGAGTTGACTGAGGGGGAAGTGGTTGATGAAGGTTGAAGCAATTTCCAGATGAGTCAAGAAGAAAGCTTGTCTCATAGTTTGCCTCTTCTGTTCATGAAAGAGTCCTCTGCAGCATGGGATTCTGGTTGATAGCATGATACCCAGAGCAGATCTTCCTTCAAAATTGGAGTCAGTCCTCACAAAATGTGCCACTGCTTTATCAACCAAGCTTATGTTATAGTCTAAACCCTTTGTTGTCAGTTCAATGATGTTCATGGAATCTTCACCAGGAAAAAAATTCCATCTCAAGAAATCCATGTCTTTGCTCATTCATAACAACACCTCATCCGTGAAAGCGTTATCATAACATTGCTGCAATTATCTCATCTCCAAGCTCCAAATCTACTTTTAGAGCTCTTGTTATTTCCACCACATCTGCACTTACTTTCACACTGAAGTCCTCTCTCTCTTTTTAAAATTTATATACATATACATATGTATGCATGTACATATATGTATACATACATACACGTGCATATATACGTACATGTGTATATATGTACCTATACATATATGCATATATGTATGTTTATATGCATGCATGTATATAAATATATGTATGTGTGTATGTATATATACACACACATATATTTGCATCATTGTTCATTTTTGTACAATATTTTCTTTTTCCTATTAGGTATCATCCCTATAAAATTCCCACCACTAATTCACCCATGAATCATCACCACAGTCCCTTGCCACAATGAAGTTTTGAACCCCCCCAATGCCCTCCATGAGGGTTAAAGTCACGTCTTTCAAATTCCTCTTTTTTTAAAGATTTATTTTTTAAATATTTTTTATTTATTTATACAAGCACTGGGTACAGTCAGAAGCACGGGAGGGTGAGAGAATTCACCAGAGCCAGAGCGGGTTGCAGAACAGGCAGAAGGACCAAAGCACACTGCTGAGGGGAGCAGTGGGTGGCAGGAGAGGTCTGTGCGCCTTGTGGGACGCTCCTCCAGTGGCTGGGGAGCAGCAGGGGATCGAACCAGCACTGCAGAGGCTGCGGGCAGCTTCGCAACCCAGCACTCAACCGCTGCGCCACCGGGGAGGCCCCTCAAATTCCTCTTAATGTTGATATTTTGACCCCCTCCTACAAAATCACAAATATTCTTTTTAAAAAAAAAAAAAAAGATTTATTTATTTATTTATATAAGAACTGGGATACAGGCCAGATACGCGGGAGGGTGATTCACCAGAGACAAAGCGGGGAAGAGAACAGGCAGACTGACAAAATACACTGCTGAGGGGAGCAGAAGGCGAGACAGGAGAGGTCTGCTTGCCATGTGGGTTGCTCCGAGGCCGGCAGGGATCGAACTGGCACTGCAGAAGCTGCGGACAACTTCACAGCACTGCACTCAACTGCCTGCACCACCAGGGGAGCCCCACAAATATTCCTAATAGCGTCTAGAATGGAAAAATTCTTTCCAGAAGTTTTCAAATTACTTTGCCCAGATCCATTGGTGGAATCACTCTTTAGGGCAGCTGTGGCCTTAAGAAAGATGGTTCTCACATAGTAAGTCCTTGGATGATCAGGTGTATTGTCATTGAGCAGTATTATTTTGAAAGGAATCTTCCCCACCTACCCCAACCCCCCACCCCGCAAGTGGTAGATCTCAATAGTTGGCTCAAAATATTTAGTAAATCTTATTGGAAAGAGATGTCATCCAGATTTTGTTGCACTCCTTATAGAATACAAGTATCGATAGAACGGATTTAGTATCATAGTTAAGGATCCTAGGATTTTCAAAATAGCAACTGAGCATTGGCATCAATTTAAAATAACCACCTACATTAGCCCACAAGAGAGTCAACCTGCCTTTAAAGCTTCGAAGGCAGATGCTGACTTCTCTATAGTTCTCAAAGTCCTAAGTGTTACCTTCCCTTATAGACAAAATCTGCTGTGTAGTGTAGCCTCCTTCATCGATGGTCTAGGCTAGATCTTCTGGAAAATTCACTGTAGCTTATGCATCAGCACTTGCTGCTTCACCCTGTATTTTTATAGCTATAAAGATGTCTTCCTTCCTTAACCCCAGAACACCTCTGCTAGCTTCCAGCTTTTCTCCTGCAGCAACTTCATTTCTCCTGGCCTTAGCAGAATTAAAGAAAGTCAGCCCCTTGTTCTGGATTAGACTTTGGCTTAAGAGACTGTTGTGGCTGGTTTGATTTTCCATCCAGAGCATTAAAACTTTCTCCCTATCAGCAGTAAGGCCATTTTGCAGTCTTCCCGTTCATGTGCTTACTGGAAGAGCACTTGTAATTTCCTTCAAGAACATACATATATATGTATGTATGTATGTATATGTATATATTTTGCTTACAAAATGTGGCTAAGTGTTTGGTACAAGAAGTCCAGCTTGCAGTCAGTTTCAGCTTTTAACTTGCCTTCCTCACAAAGCTTCAGCATTTCTAGTTTTGGGGTTATTGAGGGAAATAAGCAACTCTTCTTTTCACTTGAGAACTTGGGAGTCCATTGTAGGATGATTAATAGGTTTAATCTCCACATTGTGTGTCTCATCTCAAGGAGTAGAGAGAGTTGAGGAAAGAGAAAGAGATATTGGAACATCAGGTTGGTGGAACACAGCAGATCTTACGATATTAAGTTAGCTGTCTCGTGTTACCAAGTGCATCGTGCCCCCAAATAATTACCATAGTGCCATCAGATCACTGATCACAACAGACAGTAATAATGGAAAACTTTGAAATATTGAGAGAATTACCAAAATGTGATAGAGACTCCAGGTAACCACAAGCTGTTAGAAAAAAAAGTGCTGGTAGACTTGCTTGATGCAGGTTTCCAAACAATTTGTAAAAAAAAAAAAAAAAAACGTATCTGTGAGTACAATAAACCAAATTGCAATAGGGCCTCCCTGGTGGCACAGCAGGTTGAGTGTAGCACTGTGAAGCTATCCGAAGCCTCTGCAGCACGGGTCCAATTCCCGGCCGTCGAGGGAGATTCCCACATGGTGCGGCAGACCTCTCCTGTCTTGCCCGTTGCTCCCCTCAGCAGTGTTTTCGGTCTCTCTGCTTGTTCTGCTTCCCACTCGGTCTCTGGTGAATCCTCTCACCCTCCCGTGCCTCTGATCTGTACCCCAGGTATTGTATAAATTAAAAAAAAAAAAATCTTAAAAAAACTGCAATAAAATGAGGTACTAGGAATACAGATTCCTAATATTTGCTAATATTTGGTCTCCAATGAAAAGTGTGAGTGTGTGATATAATGTATGAAAATAATCCTTTTTTCATTGTTATTTATTTATACAAGGTAACACAATGTATCAAAGAATTCATCATGTACTGAGCAACACTATCTTAAACACTGCCAAACAAAAATGTGTTCTTCCCTCTCTCCTCTTTAGGCACTAATTATTCTAGCAAGAATTACTGGGGCCTCCCTGGAGGCATACGGTTTAAGTCTCAGCATCATCATGGCTACATCCAGAGTTCCATCCCAGGTCAGGGAGTTAACCCACATAGGGTGCAGCGGACCTCTCCTGTCTCACCCACTGCTCCCCTCAGCAGTGGATTTCAGTGGATCCGCCTGTTCTGCTCCCCACTCTCTCTCTGGTGAGTCTTCTCACCCCCTGCACCTCTGGCCTACACCCGATTCTTCTACACAAGCAAAAAAATAATAATATTCTCTTCTTTAAAGCAATATTCTTTCTCATTTGACATAGGATTTTTCTAGAATTCACTGAAGCTCTTTATACATTTCAAAGTTTATCATGAGTCTCTGTCATCTGATTCTGCTAAATAGTCAGAGTAAAGAAGCTGCAGGATTTTCCAAAGTAGCAGAAAGTCAGAACATGAATCACTCTTTGTAAGGATGAAGCTTGTGTGGGGAATAATCTAGTGTTCTTTCTGTACCTTATATCCTGTGACGGTGGATTCATTTGATAGAGCAACCACATGATCCCAGGTGATAATGTAGCGTGAACCAGACCTTATGGAGCTGATGATCCTCGGTGGCTGGCTTGGAGCTGTGGAAAACAAAAACATGGCAGCCAGTCACAACATCCTACCTGAGTCTGCAAATAGCATCACCCCAGGAATAACAACTGTTGATGAAAATGATGTGACAAGATAACAGTTGAATGCTGAGGAATGCTGGCACTCTTCTAGCTACTTTACAAAACTGGTTCTTTGATTTCCTTTTCATGACCTTCCACTTGGGTTTCTTTCTCCACCAGCCTTTGCAAAATTGTGGTTTTTAAGATCATTAATCACTGCACTGGGTCAAATCTAAAGTCTCTCTTTTATTCCTGTCAAACTTAACTTTCCAGCATTCCAGATTTTACCTCTCATTCCTTCTAGAATCTTGTTTTTTTTCTTAAATTCAAGTTCTCTTGAATTGGGTACCCCCTCCTACCTCCCATGCAGCTCCTTCTTATTAGTCATTGTCATTGGCTCCATGTCCTCTGCCCACTTTCTAAGTGTTAGAAGGCCTTAGGACTTGATCCTCAGAATGCTTCTCCCCTCACAAATACTTCTCCCCTAAATACTTACATGGAAGCCCCTGACTTTAAGTACTCAAATTCTATCTCAGGGTCTAATGCTCTGAACACCAACATCTAAGTATGCAATGTTATGTCTACTTGAACATGTGAAACTTCTTAAATATAACGTAATCAAGGCCTCCCTGATGGCACAAGGGGTTAAGCACAGCACTGTGAAGCTGTCTGCAGTCTCTGCAGCCTGAGTTCAATCCCCAGTCAGGGAGCTACCCACATGGCGCAGCCGACCTCTCCTGTCTCACCTGCTGCTCCCCTCAGCAGTGTATTTCAGTCAGTCTGCCTGTTCCGTTCTACACTCTGGTTGAATCCTCTCACCCTCTGCACGTCTGGCCTGTACCCCAGTTCTTTTATGCATAAATAAATAAATCTTTTAAAAAATCAAGACAGAACATTTATTATGTACTCCAAATGTACCTCTGGGTCTCTCTTATCTTTAGCAAATGGCAAAAACAAACCCTCATCCTAGATTTTTACTTGAGAAACTTCTAGTACTAAGTCTCTCATTCCAGTCATTGCCAACATCCAAATTACCAACAACTCATCAATTCTGCCTGCAGAAAATTTTCTACTTCTCTCTGTCATTACTTAGTGCCCACCATCAACATTTTTCCTCTCCTACTTAAACTGTCTCCTACGCTTTCACTAAACTATCCATTGCCCATCCAGAAGTCAGAGCAATTTAAAACAAAAACAAAAACAAAAACAAAAACAAAAAAACAAAAGATAAATGAGCTATCCACTTTGCCTTAAAATCTTTCAAAGAAATTAAACTCTTTACAATGACTTACAACTAAAAGATCCCTCATATTTCCACTCAGCACAATTCCTTCTCCTCATCTCAGAATCCCTTTTGCACTTAAAATATATTCTTCCTACTTTAAACTTTTACATTAGTTATTTTCTTTGCCTGAAACAATCCCCTCTCAAGCACCTGCTATATAGCGGGTTCATGTCATGTCCCAACTCAAATGGGATCTTCTAAAAAAGGTCTTCCCTGATATTATCATATTTATCATATTTCCTTAATATATTTATCATATTTCCTAATATGTCATATTTATTTATTTGTAAGAGTTTTTCTCCCTGGGTCTGACTTGATCTCTTCCGTAGTCTCAATTCCTAGGGCAGTGCTGGGCACAAAACATACATTTGATAAATGAATAAACAGAAAGCAAAGAATTTTCCTTTTATAAAACAGAAAACTGAGGTTTAAAAAGGTGAGGTTCTTTCTACAGTGACAGATGGAGTAAGAGGCAAAGAAAAATCTGAACCCCATGTCTGATATCAAAATCTGGCCATTATCATCATGTTCTGTTACCTCCTCAAGCATTTCTTTATCCACAAAGGAATTTTACAAATTTTCAGACCCTAATGGTAATCATGTCTTCAAATTCTTGTGACACTCCCTAGAGTTCTAAATGTAAACTATCCCTCACTCTTTATTTATCTTGGTTCAAGCAGACACCAAAGTGAAGTCAGAGAGATGAGACTGACCAGGAGGTTGCAGGGGAGCGAGTGTTCTCGTGATGTGAACAATGAGAACTTGTAATAATAAGAGAGTAAACATTGGCTAATTTAACTTGCACTTGCATTATGCAGTGATGAAGGTTATCTAACAAAACATAGAAAAACAAGCAGCCTTTTAATTTTCATGTTATTAATGCAAACAATGCAAGTTAAATTGACATAATCCTGGGCAAGGAGTGCAAAATTATAATCAAATGAATGCAAATCAATTAGCTAATGCTCATGGGCAAAATTTGGGGGAGAAGTAATTTTTTTTTAGAAGAACAGGGGTGTAGGCCAGAGGTGCCAGGGTCAGAGAATTCACCAGAGGCAGAGTGGGGAGCAGAACAGATGGTTTGACTGAAATACACTGCTGAGGGGAGTAGCAGGAGACACAGGAGAGGTCGACTGCACCCCATGTGGGTCAGCTCCCTGGTGGAGGATAGAACTCAGGCCATAGTGCTGACAGTGCTGAGACTTAACCCTTAGGCCATGGGGCAGGCCCTGGAAATCTTTACAGTGGGAGATTTTATCATTTTTTCAACAATGGAACACTGAACATGTGAAGATGTTCTCCACATTTTTTCATCATTGATAACAGCTAACAAATTTTTTAATCTGATGCAATTGAGATACAAGTAAAAGCCAGACTGTGTTCAGACTGTGAGGTAATACATTTCTCTTAAATGTATCTGCACCATAATTGAATGAGTGGGTAGTTTTGGACAAAGCTGAAGTGGTGATACCAAAACTCACGGGCTTTCTTGGTGAAGGTCTCAATCATGTCGCTGGGAGGTCCACATCCCGCACTGTTGCAGGCCCTGACTTCCACAAAGTACTGGGTGTCCGGCACAAGATTCTCCAGCCTGGCTGAGTACTCTTGGCTGGTGACTTGAACTCTGTGTGCAGCTGCTTCCTTGTCATGGGCGGCCCAGTACCGGATCTGCAAAAATCCAAGTTGAGTAATATTTTGTCATATATTATCAGGATGCAGCACTTCCATTATTAAGAGGCCTTTGCAACTGGCTCTGTTACCATGGACTGTTATTAAATGCTACTTACACTTTAATCAGACTTAGAATTTACAAGGCAAAATGCAAATGTGATTAAAGCCATTAAAGTCAAATCAAAGAATTAACTGCATTGCCTGAAATAGTCTTAGGCTGAGCCAAAGGAAGAAAAAATTGCTGCATAAGATTTACCTTCAGAGTGTACTTCTGGGCTCTGGCATCATTTGCCACAATTAATTCCTACTAATTTATTTTCTGCTGTATTTGTGCACATGATTTCAAATTTTTTATAAGCTCTGGACAGACAGATCCACAGGAATATGATCTTGCTTAAGAAAACCTGTAATTCTCTGATCTGGAACATATCAGCTTAGTAAGTTTCTGCCAGCTCATTTCAGATGTATGTATGTAAAATTATTTCCTTTGAAATTATCTGCCTTTGATCATAAGTCAAAGAAGTATTATACTCAATAATTTGAATAGTTGTACAAATACTTTACCTTTAAAATAAGTTTATTTTAAAATTTATAACTATATCATGATCAGAAGTTATGACTTTTAACAACCGATATACCAATGGCAGCCTTCTCAGTTAAAAGTGGAAGCAAATAAGGATGCCTTATTGGTCAGAAATCTAAAATTATATGTGTTATTAAGTAAAAAGGAAAGAGTTATTTTAATTATATTGGTATTTTACATACTTCAGATGCCCTGTCCATAAAGTCATGTGATTTTAATTTCATAATTAATCAAAGTAAAATATCTAATAGTAATTTATTCCAGAACTATTCATTTACACGAAGCACACATGAACTCATGACACAATTGAACTGCGTGGCTCAAATTCACTTGGTAATAAGGTAAGGTTTTTAATTAGAATGAACACATTTCAAAACAAAGGCTAGCTTCTAACTGTATATTGATGTCCTTCGCAATATTTTTACTTTGTATATTACTATTTATTTTTATTACACTAATAATATGTTAGCCAGTAGTTTGGATAGACTTCTTGCCATTTCTGGCATCTGGCCAAAAGAATGCACTCAAAATACTGGCCTCCTTTGTGGCGTAGGGGTTAACGTCTCAGTGCTACCAAAATATCTCCAGCCACTGCAGCATGAGTACAATCCTCGACCAGGGAGCTGACTCACATGGCACAGCAGACCACTCCTGTCTGGCTGGCTGCTCCCTCAGCAGTGGATTTCAGTAGATCTGCCTGTTCTGCCTCCCACTCTGTCTCTGGTGAATCCTCTCATCCTCCACACCTCTGATCTACACCCCAGCTCTTCTATGCATGAATAAATAAAAACGAATCTTACAAAAAAATAAGAGAAGTTAGTTATGTCCTTATATCTAGAAAGCAGAAAATGTTCTGCCAAACAGACCCTGGTTTTCTTATTTTAGAATATGAAAGCTGTAAGGTATTTTCAGAGTATACGCAACCTTTACAAATAAAAGCATCAGTACACTATGAGTTCATTGAATGTTTATATATTATCTATAACATTTTTAAAGAATACTAAAGTAAATCATAGATGCTATTTGTAAAATATGTCATTATCCTTTTCATCTGAACTAGCCACTAGCATCCAGGTAATGTCAATTTCCAAATAGATGATATATTTGGGCTATTGCATCTTCTCACTGAGTTCCCCAGTGTGATGCACCAACACTGATTTGTGAGAAAATTGCTTGGGGGGCTGGGTGCAACCTGTAGTCACAGAGCAGAACAAATGTATTGTGTTTGATCAGTCACTAGGGAGACCAAAAGAAAGTCTAGATGATTAATAGAAATGGATTAACACTTTCAGAGAAAAGACCAAGCAGGACCACTTTAGGTAGACCATAATTCATTTTCACATGCTAGATCAACATGTAGTGTATTTAATGCTGTCACTTCACAATTTTAACTATGTGTTTCTAACATCCTTTGTCTAGTGTTTACCTATTATATTGTTGATTAAACAATTATGGAATTGCTTCATTACTTATATCAACTATTACCAGATTATGAACTTCTTGAGGACAGGTACCCATTATTCATTTTCAAACACTGTGCACACAGGATTGTGTTTGGTTACAGTCATTTACATTTTGTACTAGTGACTGTACCAGATGCTGAAGTAGAGAAAGAAGCAAATATATTCATGTGTCCATGTATCTTATTTAAAAACAAACTAAAGGAAGAAATCAAAGTATTTTCAGTCACATGAAATTACTAATATTTTTATATAGAGATCTAAATGTATAATTTTGTTCAAGAAAATTTACTATTTATAGAAGTACTCTTTATAAAAGTAAAAGTAAATTAAAGAAGCTGAAAAGAAAAGCCTCAGAAAGGGTAACCCCTATTTTTAATAAGGAATAATTATAGTTATGGTTTACAATAAAATCACTTTTGTTCAAAGAAAACAGATATATCCCTTCTTCAGAAAACTTGAAAAACTTGCAGGAAAATAGCTCTTTCATCTCATTTTCTGCAATGAGGCTTAAAATAAATATATGTTACCATTATAAAAGTTCTTGAAGATGTTTAGCTCTTTTAAATTTTAGGCTTGCCCCATTTTATTACTTTCTACTTTAGTAATCTGTTATATCAGATTTCCAATATCTCTCCTTTTAATTCTGAACATTCTCTATCTGAAAAAAATATCCTGTGCTAGAATATTCTTGTGTTAAAGATTTAACACAGGTTTTAAGTATGGTTAAGATGAGCTAATTACGTGTAAAAAAATGAGACACAGAAAACAATTCCATCTCTGGAAAGATACTGTACATGAACTTTACATTGTCCAGATGCAATACTAAGCCAAGTATTAGCATATTCGATAGATTAGGAAGAGCAATAATATAAATCATTCAAAATCTGTTTTCTTACATGTCTTAGGAGCCATTTAAAGGTCCCTTTTATTCCAGTCACTGGTATAAGTATCAACCAAATCTATTCAGGCTTTACTCAGTTTTCCAGAAGTACTACTTAAAAAAAAAAAGCAAGTACCACCACCTTTCTCCAACCTGGGTATGACCCTCTCCTTTGGGGAGCTCCAGATGAAGATAGGTAACTTATCCAAAACAAGAAATTGAAGCCCTAAGTAGTAACTGATGCTTGCCATAATTTAACCTGTAAAACATTTTTTAAAGATTTATTTATTTATGCATACAAGAACTGGGGTATAGGCCAGCAGTATAGGAGGTGAGAGGACTCACCAGAGACAGAGTGGGGAGCAGAACAGGAGGATTTACTGAAATTTGCTGAGGGGAGCAGCAGGTGAGACAGGAGAGGTTTGCTGTGCCATGTGGGTCAGCTCCCTGGCCGGGGATCAAACTCATGCTGCCGTGGTTGACAATAGCTTGGTAGCGCTGAGACTTTAACCTCTCTACCACCAGGGAGGCCCTTAACTTCTAGAACACTTTCATGGACTAGTCAGTGTCGATAATTTTTAAGATAATTGTGAAATCAATCACCTGCATTGATTCAGATTCAGCTGCTAAGAGTTTGTTTGCTCATATTCCTGAGAGCATATTTTGCTTGTTTTCATTAAATGAAGTGAATATATTATGTTTAGTAGGCAAACTAAGACTTTTGTGGATTCTTGAGCATTAGCCCAAATTTCTAATATGATTTTTCAAATTTATTTATTTATTTATTTGTTTGTTTGTTTGTTTGTTTGTTTATTTATACAAGCACTGGGTACAGTCAGAAGCATGGGAGGATGAGAGGATTCACCAGAGACAGAGTGGGAAACAGAACAGGCAGACTGACAAATACACTGATGAGGGGAGCAGTGGGCAAGTCAGGAGAAGTCTGCTGCGCCATGTGGGTTGCTCCCTGGCCAGCCAGGAATCGAACTTGTGCTGGAGAGGCTGTCGACAGTTTCACAGGCTGCATCTTCACCCCTTGTGCCATTGGGGAGGCCCTCTAATATGTCTTTGCTCAGAACAATTTCTCACAATCTTCTAGTTCTCTCACACTAAATATTAATTAAGATCAGAAGTCGGGGGCCTCCCTGTTGGTGCAGGTGGTTGAGTGCAGCGCTGCGAAGCTGTCTGCAGCGCCAGTTCAATCCCCGCCGGCCTCAGAGCAACCCACATGGTGAGCAGACCTCTCCTGTCTTGCCCGCTGCTCCCCTCAGTAGTGTATTTTGTCAGTCTGCCTGTTCTGTTCCCTGTTCTGTCTCTGGTGAGTCCTTCACCCTCTCATGCATCCGGCCTGTACCCCGGCTCTTGTATAAATAAAATAAATCTTAAAAAAATGATTAGAAGTAGGGAACATTTTAACAAAGAAAAGGGAAAAAAATAAGAACTAGTTATTCTTCTGAGATTTAAAAATTTTTAAAACCACAAAAGAAGATTAATTTTAAATTAAATTGCCTACAGCTTTCACCTGAAATGTCAGAAAATTAACCTTCAGTAGGGCCAATCACACAAGACTTGGGGCTTCTCCAGCTTTATATTTTATTTATTTATTTTTTAAGATTTATTTATTTATTTATACAAGCACTGGGTACAGTCAGAAGCACGGGAGGGTGAGAGAATTCACCAGAGCCAGAGCAGGGAACAGAACAGACAGACTGACGAAGAACACTGCTGAGGGGAGCAGCAGGAGCAGCAGGAGAGGTCTGAGCACCATGTGGGACCCTCACCCATGGCCGGTGATTGAACCGGCGCTGCAGAGGCTACGGGCAGCTTCGCAGCCCAGCGCTCAACCGCTGCACCACTGGGGAGGCTCAAAAGCCCTAAACTTTGAATTAAAAAAAAAAAATCTCAATTTTAGACACTATCCTGATTGGCCTTATTACAGCTAACTGGGGGAAAGCTGCTGACTCTCTTTGGTATCCATTCGTTCTTCTGCTGCAAATGTAGGATGATGTTGATTCCTCCAAATTTTCACTCTGCACTTGAAAAGATGAGATGATTTCACAACCAAAATCTAAGGTGTGCTAGCATTGTATTAAAGACCCTATCTATGTTTATAGCTTCCATTTTCCAGTTCCTCTTCCCTTTGAAATTGTCTTCTTTCTCTCTGATTAATTCTTACAGGTCCTTTAAGACTCCTTCAAGGAAAGCTTTCTTTGGAACCTTGATAATATGTATTGTTAATTTTCTGTCTTCATTTATAACATTATGAGATAAGTATTTGCCATATTTATCATTATTCCCTTCATGGAAATTGTGTAATGGAACAATTGAGTTAAATGGAATGAAATTTAACCTCATATTAATTACCAAAATTCTTTCCCAGACACTTCAGATTCACCAGAGTTTTGTAAGAATGTTTGTCTTGAAAGATCATATTAAACCATGAGTGTTATCTTCTTAGTTTTTATTTTAGCCTCTTTTTCTACACTATATACTGGATTCTACAGCTCTCCAATTTAAATCATTTAGGAACTTGTACTTTCCTTTTAATAATGAACTTATAAATGTTCAACAAATTAAATACAGAAAATGTATTTAGTTGGTACATAAATTATTGGAACAAAGAAGACTGAAAGATGTAACATATTTAAAAATTTATACCGATATATTTATGAATAAATGTATTTAGTGTGATAAAAATTGAACTCACCTGATAACTTTCCACTATTTTTTCTATAACATGTTCCCAATGAACAGATATCTCAGAAGATGATAAGACTTTTACACCCACTTCTGTTGGAGCTTCACTGGGAGCTGAAATATGATCAGAAATTTATGTAAGAACGTTCGTATATAAGATCTTACATTAAGAAATACAAATAACACCATTGTTGTAAGAATGAATTAAAACTATACTTGATGTTTTCAAAGAGATGTAAAATTTCCAAAATGAGTCTAACTGTTGCCTCTTCCTCTAATTTTATAATGCTGTTTGATTTCATATTTGCCATATGTATACACACTCATATAAATATGAATGTTAATATAGACATCTACATACACTTACACAAGTGCAAAAAGAATTTTATAAAGTATGTAAAACTTCATGAAATTCTCTGTATTCTGTGAACAAAACCATACAAGCTGCTTTAATATTTTCCCCAACTAATTTGCTTAAGAAAGTTTGTGGATACAATTAAAATGAATTTTATTTGGTTTAATAACACTATATTATTAAAGCTAGTATATTTGTCATTTATTAGATAAAATTCTTTACAGTTCTGGGCCTCCCTTGGTGGCGCAGTGGTTGAGCGCCGGGCTGCGAAGCTGCCCACAGCCTCTGCAGTGCCAGTTCTATCCCTGGCAGCTAGCGAGGGTCCCACATGGCGCGCAGACCTCTCCTGCCGCACCCGCTGCTCCCCTTAGCAGTTTATTTCATCACTCTGCCTGCTCTGCTCCCCGCTCTGGCTCTGGTGAATTCTCTCACCCTCCCTCGCTTCTGACTGTACCCAGTGCTTATATAAATAAATAAATAAATCTTTAAAAAAAAATTCTTTACAGTTCACTTTCAATTTTTTCTTACTTTCACTTACATGACTTAAAAATACACAATAACATTTCACTCTTTTATGTTTAAGCTAAGGTCTTTTTTTTTTTAAAGATCCTTTGAAACAAGTTGTGACATCCACTGCCACTGGGACTTAGGAAAGCTTTTTACATCTAATCTTCCAACTGGGCATCAAGTCAAATATGTATCAAAAAGGCCTCTGTTTGGCTAAAAAAAAATAATTTACATCCTTCATGAAAATTACATAAAGAAACTAAGGAAACATTTAAGTAGGGGTCATCATTTTTTATTATCTTTCATTAACAAGCCATAATCCTCTTTTATGTTAAAAATGCCCTACATGTAAAAACTGTTGCTTTTCCAAACCAAGTAAACATGTAGCAGTATGATTGATTTCTTAGTAGGAGAAGAAAAGATGAAAACGTATACAAGTTTCGGCACATGCAGGTTTTATGAGACTCATGAAACATTCAGGAAAGAAATATAATTAAATACAGATGGTCACGACACTGAGCTGACAGCCTGACCTTTTGCCTGATTACTTTAGCATCAAATAAATCAGTAAAAGTCGATACTGAGTGAGAGGATAACTTGTGAAACGCTTTTAACTTTAATTTATAGTGTGAGATGTGCTAATGTTGTCCAAACTCTTACAACTTAGTCAGGTTATCATAACCTGCTGAATCAGAACAAGTATAGAGAATGTGAGATTAATTGTTAGGACTGAAGATTTGTGAATTGATTATAAACTTAAATAATCTCCATCATTCATGGAGTAGAACTAGTTAGTAGAACTAGTTAACTTTAAGTGGTGTTAATATGTGTGTATGGACATGGGTGTGACTGCTTTACATGTTTGTATGGGAAGGAAAGATCATGGATGTTTTGAATATATGCTACATTTTTAACCAATATGAAAGCTAATAGCTCTATGAATGAAAAGAACATTTCCATTCTAAGGCATAGCTGAAAGTTCATTTGGGGCTAAAATAATGCTAATTAGGTAAATGAATAAAGTGCTTGATATCAAAGAGATGAGAAGAGTACCTGACATAGTTTTAAGTTTTCAAACTCTCTGTTTTTTCTTTTAAAAAAAAAAAATTATTCATACAAGCACTGGGTACAGTCAGAAGCGCAGGAGGGTGAGAAGATTCACCAGAGCCAGAGCAGGGAACAGAACAGGCAGATGGATGAAATACACTGCTGAGGGGAGCAGCAGGCGGCAGGAGAGGTAGCATGCCATGTGGGACCCTCGCCGGGTGGCCGGGGATCAACCAGTGCTGCTGGGGATCGAACCGGCGCTGCCGGGGATAGAACCGGCGCTACAGAGGCTGAGGGCAGCGCCACCAGGGAGGCACTTCAAACTCTTTTTCATTTGTGTTTCTCACACGAGTGCAAAGGGAAAACTTGCCAAGGTCAAATGCTGTAGGTCAGAAGGCAGTGAAATATCTATTTGCTTTTCTATCCATTGTGTTATTTACTTAGTGCACGTGAGTGCAGAGTTATAATAAGGAGGTCCTATCTTAATGGGAAAATAATAAAAAGAATAGCAACTTAAATATGAAGTCATAGAAATCAATGTAGCTATACTTAATCTAAAGCTATATATTATTCATCACATATATGAAGTTCTGTGTGAGCATGCTCTCTTCAGTTAGTTTCTAGAAAAACAGAGCAACTATAAAATTTTTTCCCAAAATGGCTCCCAAGGCAATTTTTTTTTTCTTTCCAAGAATAAAATAAATTCAATTGCTATCTGACTCATTTTTATTTAATTATGCCCAGATTCCTTCAAATAAAATTCCAGTATTCAATTGTAACAACAAAAAATTACAAAAATGTTACAATGACACGTATTTGGAGATAAATGGGGTAAATTGAAACAAAAATCATGTATGTTAAAAAAATCTGTAAGTGGTATTTTTTTATGAATGCAAAGACACACTATGGTTCCAAACAAGTATGAAGAATTTCTGAGTGCAAAATTATAATCAAGAGACAAGGAACAGTGGGCTAAGCCAATTATTTAGTGGCGATTTCCTAATCACCATAGCCATAACCTAACGGATGAAAACGATTTGGTGATAATCTTGTCATTTAGATGGAGAGATCAACATTTTATTTTAGTTCGGAATATATTCATAATACTAAAATAATCTTAATTAGGCCTAAATGACTGCAAACAAAATGCGTAGGAGAGAATTAGGTCTTTTCTCCCCCTTATGTCAATAAGTTCTTGCACCCACCGTCTTGTGCTGAATTAATAACCGCTGTGAGGCTATAAGGCCCATCTCCCTTGTTGTTGAAGGCCTTCACCTTGACTTGAAATGCGGTGGAAGGTCGCATAGTCTCGTCTTTATGGACATAGCGGCCAGTGTCTGGATTCGTGACGGTCACCTTTTTCCACTCTTCCCCATCGAATGGCTTAAATGCCACGATGTAACCAAAATTGTTGCCATAGTGGTATTCTCTTGACAAAGGCTGCATAGAAATTGTACTATTAGATAGGTTGAGAGATACAATTACCTGGGGATAATCCTATGCAAATAATAACAGTCCACGTGGAAACAGGTACTTTGTAAAAACATACTTAGTTCCTGAGTCTATTATGTTCTCAAACATGTGATTTACTGTTTACCAACCTGGAGGTTACTAGCATGACCAGCGTAGGTCACGCTTTCTTTGTTTCTCCTACTGAGGATGCTTTCCCACTTCATAAGTTCCCTCCCCCAATTTCTTGAGGTAAACATCACCTCATTTTGTTTTGTCTGGCCACACAATTAACCATATCAAGACTTTTCACCATCTTCATATCCCACCGCCCTGCTCTTTTCCCTTTTCAGCGTCATTGTTTCATACTATATAGTTCACTTGCTTTTGGATTTCACTGTCTCTCTCAACTGCTAGATGATAAGTTTTGTGAGGACAGTTTTATTTACCTCTTTGTTCTGAGAACCTAGAACAAGGCCTCAAGTAAAATTCATTTAATTGCATGAACAAATGAATTTCTTCAGGGTTGAAAAGCAATATTAAAAGTTATAGCCCACTTTAGAGTATCTGTAATGCCATGAAACACAACAAACTGGTCAGAGGAAAAACAGAAGGTGGAAGAAACAAGGGCTAACTCTGGCTCACCTGGAGTAGCCTGACTTCGGGTCCCTGGCTGACTCTAGCACTGAGGCAAGTACTCTGTTGTATGATTTTTCCCTCTGTTTCTTATTCTTACACATGTCAATGTCGATGAAGAAGCCCTAATAATCCACTATTCATAAATACTAGCTTAAAGCTAGTTAGTTACAGTGCAAACTCATCATGTACTCATTTTCAGCCAATAAGGTAAATGTATGAATTGTACATGTACTTTTTTGCAGAAGAAAATCAAAGTTAATATGTCTCAAGGAAAAACCCTGAACAAATTTATAACACAATTGCTGGGATATACTCATGTTAAACAGGAAGATATAGACATGCATAAAATTAAAGGTTAAAGGAAGTTGTACTTGGATGAATAGTATAGATATCTTAAAGTTTGATCATGAAGGACCACGAAATGTGATTTACATTAGTAGAGAGCATAGTCTACTATTTCTATACAAACATTTTCTTACATAGTGTAGCTTTTGCAATTTAAAAAACATCAGAATCTGATAAGAGTTTTCAACAGCTAATAATTCACAGGCTTTATTCCCAGAGGATTTAAAACTTGAAGAATAAGGTTTCCAATTCTGAATTTTGTTACATACTCTCCATCTTATCCTGAAGCAAACAACCATAGAGCTTAAGGAAAAATCAAGCCATGGAGAAGAGTCAGGTGTTCTAATCCTTCCAATATCTTACTTTTATATGTCACATTGTTCCATAAAAATTCCAATAAGTAATAGAAGACTTGGAAAAGCAGCAAACAATTTTCTAAATTTTACTTTAAAATGTGATTTAAATGCTTAAGTATAAAAACAAAAGTAAAGTCAATTTCTTAATCTGCTTATAAATCAATTGGAAAAATATAAAAATAAAACCAGCCATTTTCACCACAGTCCTAAGCTGTATTCTTTGTCTACTTGCAATGATCTAATGCTAAAAATATTTTAATGCCTCCCTGGTGATGCAGCAGGTTGAGCGCCACACTGTGAAGCTGTCTACAGCCTCTGCAGTGCGGGTTCGCTACTGGCCGGCCGAGGGGAATCCCACATGACACAGCAGACCTCTCCTGTCTCACCCGCTGCTCCCCTCAGCAGTGTATTTCAGTAGATCTGCCTATTCTGCTCCCTGCTCTGTCTCTGGTGAATCCTCTCATCCTCCCGCACCTCTGGCCTGTACCCCAGCTCCTGTATAGAAAAATTAAATAAATAAATCTTAAAATATATATTTTAATGGAATCACAGAACTATAAAAAAGTTCGTGTTATCACAACCTTTCCCGACCCCGCTGTCACTCTCACTTCCAAAATCCAGCTAAACTGCACTATTTTCATGAGATTGTAGTTTCTGATGTAAAGATGCCCTTTGGATCATCAAAATTTAATACAATGTTTTGAGCATCTCAATAAGAAGTCACTGGGTAACTTCTAAAATGGATCTATCAGAAGAGACTAAACTAGTGATCAAAACATATCTCTTAGGCCAACAGATCCCTTAACATCCAGGATCTACCTGTGCATAAAAACTGCCCATTAAGCGTAGTAAACCAGGCAAAACCTGATATGTAGTAAAAAAAAATACTCATTTATTCTGTGCTTGTGTTTTGGGAATTTTCTTCTATACAAATTTATTTCAGGAAAAAAAAATGGATTTGAGATTAATATGGGTAAGGCAACCTATAGTATGTGTGATTTATTCATACTTACCGCCCAGGTTATGGTCAACTCTCTGTTGCTTCCACCCCCACCTCCTACATCGGAAGGAGCCACATTTGGTGCTGCAACAGACATAAACACAACAACACAAATAAGGCGAGGTCATTTTTTTCCTGAGATTAGAGCTGGTATTCACAACTTAAACCATGAATTCTTTCTTTCACTAGGAAAAACAAGCTGCACACATGATCCAGTCAATTATAATAACAATGTCTCACAGTAGCTATAATAATCTGTTTTACTGCCAAGATAAAAATTGATTCAGTGCCATGGGAAATGTGCCAGTTTCTTTCAACAAAGGGTAGTGAAGCAAATTTGCCTCCCCCATCTTTCTTTTTTTCCTACTGTTTCCATTCAATTAATATAATTTTGAAAGAGTAGACGTTCCTTTGTTGGGAAAATATTTTCATACCTCTTCATACCTCTTTCTTTTCAATGGATATCCATCTGACAGTTTACTGCTATGTTAGTTTCATTTCATTCTACAACTATTAAAATGTTCTGTGAGTGCATTAACATAGGATAATTTTTTTAAAGATTTATTTTTATGTATTTATGCATAGAAGAACTGGGGTTTCGGCCAGCAGTGTGGGAGGTGGGGAGGAGGATTCCTCAGAGAAAAAGTGGGGAGCAGAATAGGCAGATCTATTGAAATCTACTGCTGAGGGGAGCAGCAGGGGAGAAAAAAGAAGTCTGCTGTGCCCTGTGTGGGTCAGCTCTCTGTCCGAGGCTCAAACTCATGCCATGGTGGCTGGCAGTAGCTTGATAGCACTGAGACTTTAAGCCCTGCACCACCAGGGAGGCCCAATATAGGATAATTTTTTCCCAGTTATCTGGAAATATTAGCAATCTAATAGTGCTTGTTATTTCCTCCCAATTCCTAAATCTTTTCTGGTACCTTTTCCCATAAGTGCTTCCAACTATCCTCCACTCCCACCCCCTTATTTCATCCTTCAGTTTTTCTAATGGAGAGTCTATATATAAGTATCTTATGTAGAGAATCTCTACATAAGAATCACTCCATAATCCTGCTTTTCTCTTAATCTCCTTTACAACCTTTACTATAACTGAACTGCAAAGAACTGATACATAACTATTTTTTGTACTTCACTTTTCACAACCCACAATCTATTTCCCCTTCTTTATATAACTAAGTTCATTCTCAAAAGTCACAAAATCGCTTCTAATTGCCAAGTCCAAGGGCATCTTGTTTTTCCCTGAGTTACTCTCCTTCCTTGAAAGTGTTTCCAGATACATCTTGCTGGGTTTGTCAGCATTACATTATTGGACAATATCTTACTGGATTTGTACCTAACTGGAATTGCACAGATAATTAAAGCACAGTTTGTTCCTACACTTGAGGCATTTGTAGACCACCACATACTCAACTACATGGCTGATATGTGCTTATTTGTTTTTAAAGATTTATTTATTTATTCATACAAGAGCTGGGATGTAGGTCAGAGGTGTGGGGCGAGGGTGAGAGGATTCACCAGAGACAGAGTAGGGAGCAAAACAGGAAGATCTACTGAACTACACTGCTGAGGGGAGCAGCGGGCGAAACAGGAGAGGTCTGCTGCGTCATGTGGGTCAGCTCCCTGGTGGAGGATCAATCTTGTGCTGCAGTGACTGCCCACAGTGTCATAGTGCTGAGACTTACCCCTTGTGCCACCAGGGAGACCCTGATATCTGCTCTTTTTATAGAATAAATACCTTTTTCCATACAAATGTTGTGGTAGAGTCTGGGTTATCATTCCAGATTAGCTGACATTATAAAGAAGAGATAAAATGTCAGTTCTTCCTTGAGTTTCCAAACATCTTCCCAAAAAGAAACAGTCACTTTTCTCAAGTGCTTAAAACAAGGCATCGTGTTTCTGAATTGCAGATTCAAACAAATAATTTTGATTTAAATACACATACTTCAAAGTTTTTCCTAATGTTAGTCATGTAAATTCTTTAAAGTATAATATTGCAGAGACCAAAAATAATTTTTCTTTATATCTATAAAACTATATGATTTCCTTTTGTGATGAAAAATTAACATGAAGCTTAAAAGATTTTATTTCACTATTCAGCTGTCACCACATGACTGTTAGAAATGAAATTGAGTACACAGGGGTATTAAAAGATAATTTACTTGCAGCACTTTAGATAAAATATATAACGAAAGCTGGAACATTGAAAAAACTCTTCAAAATCCTTTAAGCCCTAAAATCATACTCTGAGGTTAAAACTTCACATGCTGTAGAAAAATAAAGAGCATGTTGTTTTACAGTCATTGAATAAATCAAGTTTTGTTGTTTAGCTCCAAGTACAAGTTCAGTAGTCACAAATAATTTCAAAAACAAATCTATAATAATTTATTAGGCTGCAATATTGCCTTCATCAGGACAAGTGTTATTTGTCAAAGCATTTCATTACAATCCTTCTCTTTAGAATCAGTATTCCTCTTTTAGAACAGAGCTGAACTGGAGTATGTTTATATGAATGAACATTTTTCCATTCCAAGCTACTTATGCTAATATTTTCAAAGGACACTTCAAATAAGTAATTCAAAATTGATTTGGTCTTCACAGATCATGCATTGAACTCATGATGCTGAAAATAAAACCAAAAAATATCACAGAAACAAAGGTAACTCTAGCTTCATAGTGTTTTTCTATCTTACTTGGATTATTAATTTCAGCCATTTAGGTTGGAATATTCAGTAGTACCTTTAACAGTAAGGAACACTTTTTCACAGGTGGAACCGAACCAAATCTACCTATTTGACATGAATCTAAGAAGAGATGGACTAGATATTCTGTATTTGCAGTCAGCCCGCAGTAATAGGAGGAGTTGACAGAATAGTGATTCCATTCAGGGAAGTAAATCACCCTAAGCACAGGAAACTTATTTAACTTTCGGCTCCAGGGTATTCAATAGAAAACAAACTGAACTTTCTTCTAACTATAAATCATTAAAAAGAATTTAAACAAATATTTAGGAAAATACTGAATTACTGAATGACTCATAAATAAAATTTATAATTTTACTGTGAAGGCTGAATATACCCATGTTCTCTTGACTAGTCTTTTTGCCATGATTTCTAATAATGGCTCCTTAATGATGATGTTTATACAAGTGCTTCTACATTTCATTCATAGATCTACAAAATATTTAAAATTGAAATCAAGTCAATGTTATGACTATTCTTACCTATGGAAAGAAATGAAAGCTGACAATTTTCCTCTTAGATTTGAATATTTAAATGATTTGCATAGAAGTACCTCTTTGGACTTTTGTATTTTATTCAATGATATACAATGAATCCTAGTTTATGAAAATTAGGGCACATAGGAAAAGAGAATGATTCAAAATATACAAACTACTTAGTCTTTGCTAATTATTACTTTAACTTGTACAAGTCATTTTTATAGAAATAAAGTCACTATGATTATAAATTTTCACTTTAATTTACATCAAAATTTTATTGCAATTTATTTAAAACAAAATTTTTTTAGTAAAAGAGGTAAATGATTATATAAACAATGCTCTAAGTTCTAGGAAAGCAAGAGGATCGAAATCTTACATCTGCTTTTATTCTATATTAAAATATATGTTCTTTCTGAAGAGCTGTTTAATAATCAAATGAACTGGCTATTACTTAGATATTCAAAGGAGAGTATTTCTTTATAATACTGTGATCTCCTGCTCTGATTGTGCAGCCAGCTGCTAACACATGTAATGCATTTAACATGTTAAACTGGTGTTTTTTGCATATTAGGTAAAAAGCTTGTAAGGTTTGAAAGATTGGTAATTCACAATATCAGTGTCCTAGGGCCTCATCAGGCCCACATTGTAGATTTGTTTGTTAATGGATGTAGGATCCCCGGCCCTCCTTATTCTCAGGACTATCGTCTTGGAATCCAGGGTTCCTTTCTGCTTTAGGGCCATGCAGGGGACCCTTTCACCAAGAGCAAAACTCCAGGTATGAGGAACATACTGGGAAACCAATATCAGCTGAAAAGGGCAGGTAGATATTAAAACAGAGATACTATGCCTTTATTAGCAGGAACAGTGGAGCCCCCAAGGCAATAGCCTCGGGTCACTCCACCCTGCTTACATTCCTTCATAGCCCTCCTCCATGGATGTACACCACCTGAGTACCTACCCGTATTAGTACTTGATGCTATTAGTACCCCTATTAGTACTTGATGCTAATAAATAGTGACTGCCCTTGAGTCGGGACTGCACATTACATCCTGTGTAGACCCTCTAGGCTTCCCAATGCTCCACATGGACTTTGAGTAGCTCTCTCATCCTGCACTGTTTCCAATAAGTCACCTCTGGACAATGTTTGGATAAGTAGGAAAAAATGCTATAAACTGGGGTAAGCATAATGCACAAATTATTATAAAGAACCAAATCAATTAGGATCAATTGTTGATACCCAAAATTAATTTCTAGGTTATCCCTCAGTGTATTAAATGAAAAAGTAAATGCAGATGATAACTTTGTTTTCAAGCAAAAACAAATTATATTTGGTAATGGATTCTTCTAAATCATTATATGCAAATGTCATTCTTGCTTTGATCATTGTTAGATAGAAAGATCTTCAACATCCTGTATTAACTGTCAATTGCCAGTTAATTGTCTTACCCATCTTTTCATTCCTTTAGTCTTCAAGATTACAAATAATCTTGAGCATCAATTATAGATATTGTGCTGTACTAATCACCAAAGATAACAATATAAATGAAATTGGATTGAGTCCTGAAAATGCTTTCTTTAATGTCATAGGAATTAAATGTGTATAACTACTTTTAATTCAACATATTGAATAGTTTTTTTGAATGAATGAATGACTAAGAAGCCCAGCTTAATAGACTCAGTTAAACTTACAAGCTATTTTTATGTACTTCACCTATTGGATCTGAGACAGATACTTGGAAGTACATATCCAACAACAGTATTACCTCCTCTCTACGGGAAAGGCAAATGAGTCCTGTGAGAAGTTAGTTGAGATTTCCCTAGTGGCCTAAGGGTTAAGTCTCATCACTATCACTCCTGAGGTCTGAGT